CATGGGGGACGGCTTGTTTTACAACGTCATTGCCAAGCGACGAAAACCCAACCCCGATGGCAAACACCGCGGTACACCGATGGGGGACGGCTTGTTTTACAACGTCATTGCCAAGCGACGAAAACCCAACCCCGATGGCAAACACCGGGGTGACGTACTACATGTGAATGAGGAAATAATACACACCTGAAAACGATGCAAAATTTCTCCCCATGCTAAGCGATCGGTCCGCGGTTTGCTTGTAGGCCAGTCGCGCCTGAGACAGCCAAAGCCAACATCGCAAGTTCGTCAGGCTGGGGAGAGGAGATCGCGGGCGTGGAAGTTCGTCCCAATGCACGAAAGCGGCACTACGTATCCAGCACGTATGCATACGTGCGGGATGGCTGCAGCCAACCCAGCGCTTCCTGCCGCAAGAATGCATACATACAAATGGTGGGGTGTTTATACCTGTTCTCTGAAGGGTGCCTGAGGGACCTCCCGTCCGTTGATCATCTGTAACGGCTGCATATCGCCCATCGCCCCGAGAAACAAACCGAACACGAAGCCCATTCCTGCCCCTGTTGCAAGGAAAACGGAATCGAAAAGCAAGGCATTCAGTACCAGCCGTAGCACGGCTATCAACCAAAGGTGAGCTGCCAGATTCATGGGATCATGACACAACCAACTTATGTACATCAGTTATTAGCGGTCGTGCACTAAAGACGGGTGTGCGGGGAAACGACTGTCTTGCCAACACTTTTCGGCGATGTATGTCGCTCGAGACGTTTTTGTTCATGGAGATGCCATTGTGTTACTGCCAAACATTCTCCTCGTTCTATCTAGGCTGCACTGCAGATGCCAGCTCAACCACACAAGTGGTGCCATAGCACAACATTGGACAGAGAACTGGATCATCCGCGCGGGCATCACTCGGCAAGCTACTTTAGCTGTACACCAAGGGTAACTCCAAGTAGCACAGACACCCTGCATGTCGCAGTACACCACAAAAGCAGCGGTTATACCCCAGAGCAAGCAAGCGTTACACCCCAAAACAATGCCTTACCTCCCACGGTGCCCATAATGAGCTTGAAGCCGCAAGACTCAGTCAAGACCGGCGGCGTTGGCATCGCATCCGCCGCTCCCGCTGCAGGTCGGGGAACCCAGGGAAGGAAAAACGGCAACCTCGAGCCCAGTTGGGGGTGCAGAGACCTCGACCCCTCGGTTCCCTGCTGTTTACAACATTCATCGTGTCGCCTTTCGCCGTCATCAGGCATGGTGAACGAGTACGTGAGGGCAGGCAGTACAGCAGCAGCAGCGCGGTGCAGCGGTGCTGGGTGCGGCGCACCAGCCAAGTGCGGCGCAACCAGTGGGGCACCGGGTGCGGGGCACGGGCACGGGGGGGTTTGCATGCGGACGAATGCTGCTATACCATGCGTTGTGCCCCCGACACCACCCCTTCGCGCTGCGCCCATAGCACCGCCGTCCGTGGTGTGGAGATTCGTGGCGGAGCACTGCTGTGAACAAATGGTGCTCCGGGTTCTCCTCGGCGCTCTGGCGATCTCCTGCGTGTTTTCCGTGCAGGAAGACTCTGGAAACGAAGTGAGAACGAAACAAGGAACAATACAAACGTAATGCAGCAGCACCGTTTAATAGCACCCATAGGTAGCAGCACCTGCCTGTGTGTATCTGATGTGATGTACGTGAAGCGAAAAGAGTCGGGGTCGGAACTTGTGCCACCGACCAAAGGGCACTCATGTACATGTAATTGGGTGCAAGTGCACCCCTGTGGAATGTAATCGTACCATTGCTGCTGTTGGTGGGTTTTGGGGTAAAATCAGAGTCAACCAAGAAGCGAGAGTGCGCACGAAGACAGGGTTGTACATAAAAGCAAAGGGTCTTCAGTCGGGGCGTGGCGCAGCCCAGGTGTTTTTGAGACGCTGCAAATGACCTACTGCTGCAGTACGATCCATCACTGGTCGCAGAAGTCACGTCTCCGAAACAACTCCACATCCTTTGCATAATCGCGCTTGACCGGTGGATGGACGGCGTTGACATCGGACAAGGACCACCCACCCGAGGGCAAGAGGGAACTCAGGAGACCTCCCTAGATCCCTAGCGTAGAGTAAAACGGCACCAACCCACCCGTATGAAAGATTATTGAGTTACCCCCATATGGCACAAAGCCCGCCCCCTCTCGACGTTGGTTTTATCTGCGATCGGTATTCGTCTTGAGATCCCAAGATGCGCCGTCCCTGCCTTGTTGGGATCGAAACTCTATACTTAGCACTCCCCGCCGAGTTGTTTTCCTTTCCTTGTGTCGAGATCTGCACACAACGCACGTACCATGGCTATATCGAGACCACCTACAGATGTGTGCCCCACACAACCATTGCTGAGGACAATCTAGCAGTACAACGAAAAGGAGTGCTTGACGGGATAGGTCGGTGGGTTCGCCGAAGCATGTGCCAGGAAATATTTATACAAATACAAACTCCCCATTAATGTGTGCAGCAGGGGGCACTAGGAATGAATCCGGGATGACGAAAGGGGTTGCCAAAAATATATGATTAGGACAGGAGCATTATCTCTGTTGACTTGAAACCTTGCCCTCGCCGAAGCGTTTTTCAACGCAAGATAATGACACCCACTCAGCATTGAGAAGTACCGCCCGCGCCTAACCTGTGCTTCCTCCCCCTCTCTAGCCGCACGTGCGCCGCTAGCTCCAAACCCAACTCGCCCCCAACCTGGACCTGACCTCTGCAGCACACCCACCCTACCCTGTCCGCCCCCACAAGGTTGCTGTGGCGGGAGGTGCGGGTGATGCCGATGCCGTCCCTCCCGAGCGGGAAGGCGCCAGGAGGCTCATGACTCTCCAAGAATCGCTCGGGCTCTCCGACGCCGAGGAGCAGATCATCGGGAAGCCGTGGAACTACCAGCAAAAGTTCGACCCCAACCATTTTTTCCGGTCTTCGCAGTGGGCCCCTAACTTATACGCCCTTCCTGAAGGAGTGTGCGATCTGTGAGTCTTCCTTTGTGCCTCTCGATATTCTATACTTTTATCTTGTCTGGTTGCTCTTGCTCCGCCGCGAAGCGCAAGGCACCAGATGGTGCTTGGGTTTGCACAGAGAGTTGAGGGTAGGTCACTCGTCGCTGCAGCATTGCTGTGCATCCCATTTGCGATACGACGGGCCCAGCCCGCTGTCGAGGAATTGGACCTCGAGAAACGATGACCATGGAGGTCTGAAGCGAAGAAGCTCGAGTGGCCGGTCACGGCGCCGCCTGGTGAATTTCTGTTGTTTTTCAAGAAGCAGAATATTGAATCGTGTTTCTGTCCAGCGGCGGTCTTACTGCCGAAGACTTGTCTGCCTCTGCACTGCCGCATCTGCGTTCGGTTCCTCCAACGCGCAGGACGACAGGTGAAACAAAAAGTCTTATATTCCGCTTCCCACGGTACAAGTCTTGAAGTCTCCAAGTTTGTACAGTATCCTTACCCACAAACGACATCCGCCTCCCTTGACACGTCCTGAAAAAATTTAACTTCTGTTTTTTTTTTATTGTTTTTTGCCAGGAATGATAGCCACAAGCAGCTGATCGACCAAGTTGACGTGTGGGGAGGCGCTGCTAAAACCGCGCCGAGAATATTCTGCGGCGTCTACACGTACCACGCAAACCATGACACCAAAATCAAGGTGTGAGCGGCCGCCAATCAACGGACACCTAGTACCGATTCCAACGCACACCCTCCACCTTTGCTCTGCACGTGGTATGCGATTTGTCATGGGTGTCGGTTGGGTTCAGGTGTGCGGTTCTAAGTACAGTGGTTGGCGAGGGGTTTGGGGCCGTGCTGCGGTACAGGGGTACACATCCCTTTGTTTCAGCCCCTCTATCGTGTTGTTTTGGGCCGAGCCGCGATTTCGTGTGTGTCATTCGACCGTCGTTACCCCTTGAAGTATTGTTTGGCTTACATGCCAAACACAACGAACGCCTAAATACGCCCGCTCGGAGGCCGATGTTTTTTGGTGGGCGTTAATGAAGTAGAAAGGAAGCATGGTGTACCCGCCTTCGCCGCGCCACTGCTATGGCATTTGTCGAAATTTGTGCACCTCCGATCATAGCGCGACTCTTGGGCCGCACTAGTCATTGAACGGTACATGTGCACGCGACCCAGGGCTTCGTAACCGGACATTCGCGGTAGGCCTGAGTGCCAGGGATCAGCAAACCCCAGCGTTGGTGAAAGCACAAGCCGGGCGTCGCTTCGAACTCAATGTCGGTTGCGGGCGTCCGGCACCAATCCCGTTGTCGCATGTATACCGAACCAGAGTAGCGAAGTTGAGGCGTTCAGCATGTAGAGGCCTGAACGGCGAAACTACCGAACCAGCCTTCCGTCTTGCACTGATTCCCTGTAGGATCACGAAAAGTAAAGAAAATTCGGTTCAGAGTCACAGCGCTGCCGAGGCTCCTACGGTAAGCTCTATGATAACCTGTACTCATCGGTGGTGACGGAAGAAGAAACTGGCCCTCGACCCTGATTGACGGTTTTGTCCCCCGTCCCCTAGTGTAATTTTTGTAATGTATTGCACCGAATCGGTGATGTGTGGCGTGTGTGCTGTTGTTGTTGAGCGGTAGTATTTTACCGTGCTCGTGACTGCCGCTGATCTCATGGCAGCTGCTTCGTACATATATAGGCTTGTGCTCTCGTCATGATCTGATGTATTGTATGTATTGTATGATGCAGGCAATCAAGGAGACGTGGGCATCACGCTGCGACGGTTTCGTGGCTTTCAGCGACCAAGTCGACCTCGCCGTCCCCTCGTGAGATTCCTGCTACCCTGGTACTTGGTTTGTAGCTTTAGGCTGTTCATCGCTCCCTCAGTGACAGTTCTTCTTGGTACAGTCACTTGCCGTTGTTGCTCATGCTGCCCTTCCTGATAGGAATGCACTATCTCCGTCCTTGTTATTGTTCCTACTGGGGGAGAATGGTTTCTGTGCTACAGGCCGTCACCCAGCTAGTAGTCCAGCCCCCTCTAGCTCGACGTCCGTGTAGTCGAGAAGACAAGATTTCCGAATGGTGGTGGTTGACAGGCGACCTTCGTGCGGGAGGCAGCAAAGCCGGAAGTCTTGATGCAGCAGTGGTAATGTAACAGCAATGGTGCGCAGTTAGGCACTGCTGTGGTATGCATACGTGCTGTTTGGCCAGAGGTCTAGCTGCGGAATAGGCGGCGTTTTGCGACCCTGTCAGCACAGCAAGAGCCCGCAGCGAGTCAACTTTCGGTTGTTTTTGTCTTCTACAACCAGAGTCGGCTAACTGCGGGCTCTTGCCGTGCTAACCGGGACGAAAAACGCCGCCTGTTCCGCAGCTGGACCTCTGGCCAAACAGCACGTATGTATACCACAGCAGTGCCTTACTGCGACTTGCAACAGGCTGCTTCCCAATAGCAGACGGCGCGGGTGGCGGGATGCCAAGTGGTACTTCAGTATTTGCTCGAATTTCGAGGGCAGACTGGTTTGATTCCGTGAGGTGCAGACACAGAGTGATGCCAAGAAGGGAGATTGGACACGGAGCCATTTTCGACCATCAGTGGGGTCCCCGTTGTTGCCAACGGCTCTATTTTATTGGAATATTTTGCAGGAAAATTATCCTGGTACACTTTGTGTGCGTACGCATGGAAACGGCGTTGTACTGCTATGCCCAACTATTACTTGCGCTAGCCATTCTTTTGTGTGTGTCAGTTGGTCTGTGTGAGTGTGCATCTACCGCGGTGATGAGTTGTAGTTGTTCCAAACGCCCCTGTCGTTGTGTGCGGATGTGTCTTTGACTCCGCGGGTCAGCTTCAAGATTAAGCACGAGGGGCCGGAGGAATGGGGCAACATGTGGCAGAAGAGCCGCGCCATATGGAAGTACATCGACAGGCACTACATTAACGACTTTGATTGGTTCGTTCTTGGAGGCGACGACATCTTCCTCATCGTCGAGAACCTGAGAAAGGTACAGCATGATACACACAACACTAAATAGCTGAATGTTTTGCTTCGTATGCAAAGTTCACACAAATGAAGAGCGACTACCCGATCGAGATGTAACCACAGCATTAGTGGAAGGGGTTGAGTGAGCAGAAGAATATCCTACGTTTTGCATCAGGAACGATAGTGAAAGTGTTCGATACGTGTACTTGATAGTGCCGTGTTTGTGGCCGCTGCGTTGATTTTTGGCGTGCACAGTGTACCACCGTGCCACTATGGTGGTGTTGTGTCGTCGGGTACGTAGCAACGACGTGCAGGCACGACTTGTTATTTTCGGATCCATCCATTCCACGAGCACGCGAAAGACCCATTGACTTGCACAACACGAGATGGCTATAATAGAGAAGCTGTCGATGGCTTTTCGAAGTCACCAGCACACACAGAATATCTGCAAGAGGCTCTTGGCGGCATCCACAAACTTGGTGTAGACATGGTTACTTCTGCAAGAAGCACGCTAAACTGGCGGGATTGCCATCTCAGTATTATCTGGGTCTTCGAGTACTGTGCTTGGTTGGAGGGATGTCCTACGTGCACGGAAGTTGCAGGTGAAAACGAATGGTAGTTTCAAGGGGATGTTGAAAATTGCGGCGACGATGTGCCCTGCATCCTCGAGAACCTTCCTTTTGATGCGCCGTAGAATGCCTACAAGTACGTCTCCTGACGACCCTGTCTGTCGTATCATGGCGCGCTCCGCTCACAAGTTACGATTTTTTTAGCTTTCCAAACCCCTCGTCCTCAACCGCGTGGCAACAGTACCTCCTTTCGGACGACATCAAGAAGGCCGCGGGCGGTTTCAAGGACGGTGGAAGCGTGCCCATGTACCTGGGAAGGCGTTTTCGACCGAAGGGGAACAACGACCGGATTTTCAACTCCGGGGGGGCGGCCTATCTACTGAACCAGAAATCTGTGCGGCTCCTGGCGAGCCACCTGGACGACCCCTCGTGCAACCCGCACCAGAAGTGCTCTTGGGAGGATGTGAATGTGAGGGAGACGGAGGGTTGGCAGCAGATTCTATTGGGGAGGGGGGGGAGGGTCGTGTCCTGCGGTGGACAACGGCTGTGGCACGCCCGCCCCGCAATAATCGGCAGTACTGACGCAAGCTTTTTGTTTTCTCTTGGGGGTGGAGGGGGTCGCCGCAGCTTCGACATACGGGGTGGGAGGGGGTCGCGAGCAAAATATTTCTTTTGAACAGTGTAGCGCTGAAGGGACACTCATGAAGAACAGGTTACCGACTCTGTTGGGTGTGCCAACAGGGTTGGTATTATTATGCTTTTCAAGTGTCGAGCGTTGCCTCTGAGCTTTGCTACCTTTTTTGGCCGGTTCGGTTGCCGCCGTCTCGTCCTGGTCAGAAGCAGATACGATCTATTTTCACACTCACACACTTGCTGGCAAATATTGGGCCACGCGAGTAAGGAAGGTTTCTCTGCGGTCCCTCGACGCTACTGGCAGAGACTACCAGGCGGGCATCGAAGGCCGTCGAACGATGCTGATTATCGCAATAAATATCGAGAGGCGACTCTCGTTGACGCACACCCTTCCTTCTAGTTTCTGCAACTGCCGAAGCACGTGCGTTGCTTCGTCGAGCCGTCACATGTTCAGCCGCAAATAGAGTCGTTTGCCTATCGAAGCACGAACTCGATGCAAAAGCCCCGTCCCGTCGCTGGTCCTCTCGCGACGATGAACTCCGTGGTGGGTCACTGACTCCCCCGGGGACGCATCGGCACATGGTGCGTGTTCAGGTTGCTGCCTGCTTGCGACAGCACGGCGTGGTGGCCCACGACACTCGGGATGGACTCGGACGTGAGCGTTTCCACCCCTTCACGCCCGGGCAGCACTTGATGTGAGTGCTCGATTGCCATGTAGGACACTTGCGACTAAGTAGGCTCACCACACCTATAGGTTGGAACTGGGATGCACCTTCCTTTTTGTTCTGGGATCTTGCTCGTGTTCGCTTGTGCAAAAGGGGTTGAGCTTGAGATTAGAACGGCCAAAAATGGTGATAAATTGTCGGCTGGGGTCTACTGCTTGCTGTGTGGTTGGCCCCCAGGCCGATTGTGGCGGCGGTGAAAACGATTTTGAGGACGGTCTGTTAGGTACCTGTTAGGATGCTTTTGGTTTCTCGCGCTGCAACAATACGCCAGCAGCGAGTGCAGCGTCACGTTAGAATCGAGCCGCGTCATGCATGGCATAGAAAAAATACGAAGTAAACTTGTCAGCGAGTGGGACCGACGCCGTTAAGGGATAGGGGATACTCTAATTGGCGTGTCTCGTGCTCGATATTCGCGCCCCTGCTTCACTCTGGTAGGTACCGCGTCCCGAAGACTAACCCAGAGAAAGACTGGTACGTGGACTACTCGATCGACCTCAAAATTGGACGCGAGTGCTGCTCGCGCAACTCTCTCAGCTTCCACTACGTCGACGAGAATCTCATGCGGCGGCTCTACCATCTCGTCTACTCTTGCCCGAAGGCCCCCGTGGATTTGCCGCATGTGGACATGGCGGCGGGAAAGGCATGACTGGCATGATGGACAGAGGCGAAAAAACACTGCTTTCGGTCGCCTCTCCTCCTTTGCCCCGAAGATATCCATCGTCGATAACTAGCGGATCACCGTGTTATTATGTGTTTGTTGCCTGTTTTGGTGGTTGATGTGCGTAGACTTGAGAGTTGCATGAAGTTTTTGCTGTGTTGGTAATAGTGCCGTGGAAACGTTGTCTTGACTCGTTTGAGGCAACTGGTGCACAGTTTGCACCAAGCACCACTTGCAAAGAAAGCAGTCGAGCGTCTGCTTGCTCCCTACAGAAGTGGATCGAGTTTCCCTAGAGAGAGAAGAGTGCTCCGACACCAAGCCTGTCGCTGATGCAGGAGCTATCAAGCTATGCACACGGGGAGGCGGACCCACGAAGCTGAGTGAGCCCGACCAAGTACTGGTACCTTTGTTGTAGGCTGAGAAAGCCTTAGGGCGAGGATTTTTTCGGAACATGCAAAGGGGAAAATAGCGCCCGTGTTGTGGCTTATCCGGGCGGGGCATGCGTTTTTGGGCCGAACAAGGTCGCAACTGCGGGGACGTCGCGCACTCTCGCGTAATACGATCCGAGCACTAGCAAACTGATGCAATATATGGTACTATAAAAAACAGACGTGTATGCCGTGCTCGGCAAAAGCCCACAAGGAAACATGCCGTCTCTCGAACAATATCGCGTCTGTCTCTGCATTCATGTCGGGGTGAGGAGCGTGTCTGGGCGTTGCAGCTCAAGAGCTTTGACTGGTTGCGCTACGCGAGATATCTATAGTAGATCGAAACAACCAATGATTCACAAAAGAATGTGTACAGTATGTGTTCCTCAGAGGTTACATGGTATGTTGTTTCCGTAACACCCTGGACTCTCTCATGTCCCTCTTGCTGCGATTCCGTTGAAGACTGCATCGATCCGGGGGGTTGTGACAAAATGCTGCGTTACGTGCAGGATGCTTCAGCCGCGTTTTTTCTATGAAATGGGATTAAGTACGTGAGCGGGACACGCAACCAGTGTTCCCTTCCCCCACAGCTCCGGGTCGTCACTGTCAGATACCTACATACATGAACGAATACCATTAAAAACGCTCTCACCGCGGAACTAGGTACCGTTCATCAACGCGAAAAAATCGTCCGTCATGCTTGCTATTCAAAACAAATGAAGAAACGAAAAAGACGCAATACGTGCAAAAGACAAGTCAGACGGAATCGGATGTTTCCAGAGGGTACAGGGGACAAGTCACCCTATCAACATTCATTCACGCGGAACGCCGGACACCTTCACGCTCGCCAGCTCCGTCGGCGACAAGAAACAGCCGAAACATTTGCCCTGCCTGACCTAGATTTTTTAGAGGGCACGGTCAAAGGCTACCTCACCTCCTTCGCCAAAGGCGCGTCCAACTAACGCATACCTCCAATTTATAACAATCAAATGAAGTCCAAAACAAACCGAACTCCATAGCTTTACATCTTGCGAAGTCACCGGTATCACATGAACACGTGCAGCATCATGTTCGAGCGGCCCTCTACAAGCAGAAGGCACCCACGACGCGAACACAAAAGCACAAACGACACCACGATCATCACAAGCGCGAAAGCGAAAGTGCATCCCCCCCTCGCCGAACAAAGTAGAGAGGCGAAGCAAAAAAAAAAAGCAAGACAAGCTAACCGTATCATGCATACGAGTGAATCAAGGAGAAAACATGGACAACCATACGAACCAGCCCACCCCTCTCTCCATTCAACTACGACAGTTAACAAACAACACCCTCGCACACATCCAACCCACGACCGCGATACCTTGTGCGTACCCATCCGACGTCCCAACAACTTACAAAATACTGTCGACATGTACAACATGTACGACATGTACCTCTGATCCCAATACAGGGGGATCACCAACCCCGCTTCGCCGCCCACATCGATTTTTCGTGGGCGTATCCCTTCCACGCGACGCATCCGCTCGACACGACAGAGTCGAGGGCGGGGGGGCGGGCGGGCGGGTAGAAGGCAACCAAGCAACCTCATTCTTAGCCGGATCTTTTCCCACCCACCCCCAGGCTGCGAGGTCCCCACCCCCGGGCTGCGGGGCCCCCGGCAGATCACTACAGGTAAGACGAGATGCTATTAGTAAAATCAATTCGAATGCAGCCCGTCCTGATGAACCTGGCTTGCTTTACACCACAGGGTGACGCCATCATCGCGATCGACCTCCAACTCAACCTTCTCATACATTAAACACAGATGACGAAAGCTACAATAAATAAAGTTATACCATGTATACTACCTTACATTACGAGTGCACCACCAACACCTGCTACGTGTATCAATCAAGACAAGAAAAGAAGACCATCGTGCTATTAGTCCTGTGAAGGTCATGCGAAGGCACGAACGACACAACAACCGCCTCTCTTTCCCTGATCCCTGACTCCCCCTCGACAGCTTGGCTTGCTAGCCGCTGCCCACGCAACCTAGAGACGTCCTCGCTTCTCTTGGTCAAGAAAAAAAACGCAAGAAAGAATCAAGATAGAGGCGCCCAGGTTGCATACATGTAAAAGTTGCCTATAAGCACGAAAGTGCCGCGCACATGCGACGGTCGGTGATATCTACCGAACACGGGCGGGGAGTAGAATGGAAGAGAAATCGATTCGAAGGGGTCGTTGTCTGCCTGTTTCCTTGCACAAAAAACTGACATACCACGCTTCAACGCAAAAGATGGGAGAAAAAAAAAAAAATCTAGTCCCCCCGCGCTCGTCCCAACAGCTGGCGAGCAGCCTCCAGACAGAGAGCGAGGCATACGGCGGGCGTACATCTCACGAAAACAGCGGGCGGCAAGCTGCCGCACTCGAGAATGTGGACAGACGAATCACATCTTGGCGGACACAACCGACAAGGGCTAACGAGATCGATCTCACAGCCAGGTCAAGAAACACAACACACGGCACAGACGCGCCAAGAAACGCCCATGAGTTTTGCGGCCGTTGCGTTGCGCTTTTTCGTCGAAGCGGGAACAACACTAAAACACACCAAAAAAAAAGGTCCACAAACTAACCAACAAGACTTACGACCTAACCTCACACTTATGCGTGTACGACAGGACGAACACATTTACCGAGCTGCGGTGTAACCCAGCTCCCCACTTGGTGCACGCTGCAACCTAAGCTGTCGTTTTGAAACTCCGTACGACTTTGACTGACGCTACAACGCGTGGTCCTATCAAAAGTCAAGTCAAGCGAAGACCTTAATGTCATCGGATCCTATAATCGCCGTGAAATATTCCAACCCCCCCCAGTTGCTTCATAGCGGCCCCGACAATTCAGATATTTTTTTGAGATTCGAAGGTGAACCGGTTGGGATCTCCTTCGTGGCACCAAACATGACCACACATGTCGGAAACACGATACATCTCCAACGAAAAAACTTCTCCGTCTAGAAACGCCGAAGCAGCAGCACCAGGCTTCGACCACGCGGCTGCGCACAGACTCCCCGCGGCGCTTGGGCGGGAGGCGGATGCTACCTCCACTGGCCCAAAGCGTGTTTTGGATGCCACAACAGGAGCGGTGAAACGCGCTTCTTGGGTAGCAGCGGATGTTACGCGACGACCCACGGGGCTTCCCTTCAATCCTTCGTCTAGTAGTACCCGCGCATGATGACAGGGTTCAGGAGGAAAGGGCCCAGAATGTGGGACCCGATGTAGATGAAGGTTGGCAGGTACACCCTGATGTCCCACCCCACCTACGCATCAGTCGCGGCACAAGAAAATAAAACAAGATTGGTTTTCAAGCAACGGAATGGAGGCACACACACGTACACCGCAGAGAGAGAGTGTTGTTTGAGTTGTTGGCCCTTCGAGGACTGGTCCCGTTCGTTGGTCAGCCGTGCTCGATGAAAACGCAGAAAATTACGAGCTCGAAGAGCAATATT